TCGCTGGGCGTGTTGGTCCGCAACCAGTGCAGCGTCTCCCCCCGTGGCGTCAGCCACCCGATTGGCCAGGACACCGAGGGCCCTGCGTGCCTCGCGGCCCCGCCCGACGCCGTGGATTTCCACCACCATGGGGACGAAGGTGAACCCCAGTGCCGCGCACGGCCGCGCGGTGTTTTTGGTGCTGCCTTATGAACTCCTCGTACCGCTCCGTCGCCGCGCGCAAAGTCCCAGGCGGCCGCCGTGCCGTTGCGCAACGACGGCAGGTAGACGTCGGCAGGGCGGCGGCCGTTCTCCCCGGCGGGGCGCGGGGCTAGCAGCCCCGGGCGTTACAACTCCGCTCCAGCGTGGCCCGCGGCCAGGGCGTCGGAGAAAGCCTGGTTGCGTAGGGCGTTGTGGCGTTTGGTCCGGTCGCCGCGGCAGACGCAAACCAGGGCGTGGCCGCAGAAGACGTCCATCACCTCGCCACAGGCTGGGCAGAAACCCTCCTACAGGAGCTGGACTCGCAACCGCCTCCGCAGGCCGACCTGCATGAGGCCGTGCGAGAATGCGGTGCAGGATCTTGCAGGATCTTGCAGGGCCAGGGCGTGCACTTACCCGGATCTGGGTGCAGCGTCCTGCTGGATTTGACCCAGGTCAGAAGATCCCCAGAAGGGGGGATTCGGTTGCAAATCGCTGGGGCCTGCGTCTTTAGCGTCGGCTAGCGTCTGGGAGTCAATAGTGCAGCGCCGATTTAGCGTCGGTTTATCGTCGATCAGCGTCGGTTCAGCGTTGATTAGCGTCGATTCGCAAGAGCATCCCGAGATGGTGCGGGAAGCTCCCATCAGCTGCCGCCGAAGGGGGAGAAGGGCGGCCGCGAAGGGCGGGGAAAAAAGGAAAACGCCCATGAAACGAAGGACAACGCCGTGGGCGGCCGGCGCGGCCAGCCTGTGCTGCCGTCTTGCTGCACACAACGCGCTGCAATATATGGGCCACCTCGGGTTTGGGAGGGGCTCGGGCTTCCCGGTCGCTCCGCAGGTCTGGGTCGGTGCGCACACTTTCGTGTGTGATGCCCCCCTTGCTGCGCGTAACATGCCCATATATACACATACACACATACACACACACATACACCTTGGATGGGGCAATAACCGCTCACCGTTGGATCCGCGGGGGGGGGGCTGGGCACGTGCTGTCAGCACGGGTGGAAGAGGGTTTGGAGGAGGACGAGGAACATGAGGAGGGGGAGGAGGAAGAGGAGGAGGAGGAGGAGGAAAAGGAGGAAGTGGAGGAGGGAGGGCGGAATTGGCAAACCCCGTCGGAAGGTTCGTCGCCCACCCTTCGATCAACATCCCACCCAGATTAGGACAGTTCGGGTTCCTCGGAGAGGCTCTGGCGTCCCGGCCGCTCCTCAGGCCTGGGCCTGTGGAAGCCTCATGATGCTCGTGGGGCGGGTTCGGCGTGACCAGAATGGACCACGTCTGTTTCTCATTCAATGGCTCCTTGGGGCTCGGGTGGGGGATCGACCACAGAATGGCTTGACCCCAGAATTGGACTTGTCGTCGAATCCTGAACAAACTGCGTGGGATGCTTCGAACATCTACGGAACAGTCTACGTATTCCCGTCGCGACAAATCAGTTTCACGACCACAGTACGGAACAGTCGAAGCCTGAAGTGTGGAAACATTGACGAACAAAACAAATTTGGGGCAAATCAATTGTGTACTCGATCCCCTACTCGAAGGGGAGCACGATGTCGGGCGGGGCCATGGCAGGGACACGAACCTTCCAGAGCGTTCCGGAACGCTCTCGGAGAGCGTTCCGAAACGCCTTTTGAACAGGCCGCGGCGCCCCACACGTCCTCCAAGACTGCCGGACCTCCGAGGTTCTCCGTGCATCCTTCTCCGATTCTGTGCCAGCGCTGCGCTGTTCTACCGCCTCGCGCGCGCCAGCCGTGCACCGAGGCATCCACGCGAGCAGGCCGCGGCGCCCGACGCGTCTTCCAATACTGCCGGACTTCCGCGGTTCTCCGTGCATTTTTTGCCCGCTTCTGTGCCAACGCTGCGCTGTTCTGCCGCCTCGCGCGCGCCAGCCGTGCACCGAGGCGTCCGCGCCGTGCGACATGAAGCGTCCGCACGGCTCTTGCGATTGGGCCCTGCCCTTGTCGTGCGAGGGGCTCACGGCATCGCGAGAACGGACAGGGGGCCACATGCGAACCCGACCCCTGCCCCCCACGATTTCTGAGGGGGAGGGTGGGGTTCACTTTGTTGGGGAGCTCTCGAGCGAAGTGAACCCCACCCTCCCCCTCAGAAATCGCGGGGGGTAGGGGTAGGGTTCGCATGTGGCCCCCTAACGGACCACTGTTTCCTGTGCCTGCCCCAGCTTCGTCCTACGACGGCTGCAGCCCAGGTCGCCCGCGGGGGGTCGCGCAGAGCCCGCCGCGCTTCGCGCGCCGCGGCAAGGGTCGAGTCGGGCCTGTCCCTCTACAGGAGGAGTGTGCAAAAGTTGTCGAACAATTAGTAAGGGGACGATGTTGGTATCATATTCGATCATGTGAGAATTCTGCGACGATTTTACATGTTTCTCCCAAGCTCCGCCTGCAGGGGGACCGTCGACACGCCCGACCTCAGGCAAGGGGCGAGGGAGCGTTGAAGCCCAGGAACAAGATGACTATTTTTGGATAACACGCCGGTCGTTGAAAATAGGTATTTTGGGATTCCCAGATCCCAATCTACTTCAAGCGCCTTCCTACTTCAAGAATCGGCACACTTTTGCCGTGTTTTGTTGTCCTCTGGGAGGGCCTGGACCCAATCTGCTAGATCCGCCTTCCTGCTTCATGTCCCCGCCTGCTTCTCCCAACCGACGTGTATTGGATTCTTTTCGTTCACGTTTGAGCATCTTTTAAGACTATGTTGCATCCTCCTCCCAAAATCCGCCCGTAGGGGGGGGGGACAGTCGACGCGCCCGACCTCAGGCGGGGGGCGCGGGAGCGCGCCCCCCCCCCCCCCCTGCGGGAGGGCGCGGCGGGCGGGGCGCGCCCTCCCCGCGGGGGGCGCGGGGAGGCTCGGCGCTGGGCGGCCGGCTCCCCTCGCCGAGGAGCCGCCTCGGCTCGAGCCGGCGCGCCCGGAGGTGTGTCGGGTCTGTCCCTCTACAGGAGGAGAACTCGAAAGTAGTGCAAACATAGCAGGGGGACTTCTTTTTTTGTTGTTTTGTTTGTTTACCATGTTTGCGTATTTCTGTGTATTTTTTATGACTTTTTTGTGTGTCCGTCCAAGATCCCCATGTGGGGGGACAGGCCCGACTTAAGCCTAGAGATGGGGCCCGAGCAGAGGGGGTCGGTCGGGTATAGCCTTGTGGAGGACGATCAGTGGAGAGGAAGCATGTTGCCAAAGAAGTCCCAGATATATAGGAAATCTGTTAAACTTGCTTTAAACATGTAAAGAAGCATGTTTTAAACATTCGCATGGCGTTTTTCATACATCTTAAACACATTGTTTCTTCGATGGTAGGACTGTTAGGGTGTCCATTGTCGTGGCATCCACAAGTATAGCCAGGACCCCAGGTAAGGGGAGCCGGTCAGTGATGGGGCCCCGAAATGCAATACATGAATTGGAAGGTTTGCCGTAGTCGGTGCTTTTGGGGCGAGGGCAGTTCCGGTCAGTGGGACGTGGCGGGGGGGGGCGTCCCCCGGTGCGCATCACTGAACCAGGTCCCACGAGACCCAGTTTTGCCACCGCCCGAGCCGGGGAATCGCGCCGCCTCGCCGATGCATCGGCGGTGCGGCTCGATGTGGAGCCCGTGTTTCCCCGCGCCGACGTCGCCGATGCACCGCCGGCGCGTCGCCGGTGCATCGCAGGTGCATCGCTGATGCGCTGCCGGCACATCGGCGAGGCGGTGCAGGCCTCCGACCCCGTCTGTTCGGACCCCATCTATAGGAGGCCCCTGGCCCAGGCGCCAGCGATGCTCAGCGCACCGCGCGCGCACTGCGCCGATGGCCGACGGTGAGGATGGCGCGGGCTCCACGGCCGGAGGGCCTTGGGCGCGGGCGCTCTCTGTGCTGCCGCCCCTGGTGTACATGGTCCTGAGCGCCCTGCTGTCCGTGACGAACCGCTACATCTACCACGATCGGCGGCCCGCGGTCGAAGGGAACGAGCCCGGCGCGACCCCGATGAGCTCGGCACTTCCTGGCACTGCATGGCTTCGCTTGGTATTACACATGGGTTGCATTGTTTGACGCTTATCGGCGCTGCTTAGCGTTGCTCGGCATCGCTTGGCGTTGCTTGGCTTTGCTTGATGCTGCTTGATGCTGCTTGGCATGTCTTGGCATTGCTTGACATTGCTTTGTGTTGCGTGTCTCTGCGTTGCATTGTTTGCACTCAGTTTTCGCGTTGCTTGGCATTGGTTGTTTGCGGCATTGCCTGGCATTACGTGCACTTCCTTGGCATTGCTTGGCATTGCATGGCATTGCTTGGCATTGCCTGGCATTGCCTGGCAATGCTTTGCATTTCCTGGCGTTGCTTGGCAACCCTGGGAAAGCTTCTTCAAGCACATCAGCGTAACAAGGACAGGGACTCCTGGGAACCCGGACACTCCGAGAAAGACAGCCTTTCAAGAACAGTAATTACGGGAATTCGACCAGGGGGATGGGGGTGTCCAGCGTAGATTCGAGAAATACGCGAGGGATTCCGAACATAAATCTAGGCCTCCTTGATGGGATCGGAGTAGATGGGATCGGAGGATATCGCCGCATCGCCGATGCATCGGCGGTGCGGTTCGATGTGGAGATCGATCTTCTTGACGCCGACGTCGGCGATGCATCGCCGACGTCGCCGATGCCTCGGCGATGCATCGCCGATGCATCGCCGGTGCGGCGCGATCCTCCGACCCCGTCTGCTCGGACCCCCATCAGGGAGGCCTCTAACTGCCCATGCTCAGTTGCCGATCCTGGCTCGGGCACCCCACCCTGCCCAGAAGCAAGAGTGGCTTCGCTACGTTTGGGCATCTCTCCAGCGATCCAGCGATACACCGCCGACTCCAAGTCGATGTTCCCCCCCTCTCCCCGCAGGCCTGCCTTCCAGATGCCGGCGCTGCTGATCACCGCGCAGGCCGTCGTGGTCGGCCTGCTGACCACGGCCGGACTGAGCTCGAAGAAGGAGCAACGGCACGAGCGGAGCGTTTTGTCGGAGGGAGGAGAAGCGGTACCAACACCACCAGTGGGCCCACCTCCAGCGAGGAGGTCCCCGATGCCTCCCCCCAGCAGGAGACGGGGGATTCCTCGAGCGAGAGGGGGGGGGGCCACACCACCAGGCAGACCCCCCTTGCCTCCGCGCATCTCCTCGCCCTGTTTTTTAACGGGCGAGGAACGGGATAACATAAACTGTTTCGCTGTCGGGGGCGCCTGTCCCAGGGCGGCTGGAAAGTTGATACCCTTGCGGTGGCACCGCAGGGGTATAAACTTTCCAGCCGCCCAGGGACAGGCGCCCCGACAGCGAAACAAAAATATGCTATGCCGAGGAGGAGGAGGAGGAAAGGGAAAAGGAGGAGGAGGAGGATGAAATGAGGAGGGAGCTGACTGTTGGTGCTGGTGTCGCCCCTCCCCGTTCTTGTGCCCGCAGCCCGCGCGGACGTCCCTTGGCTCTGCGGAGCGGGCCGGGAACGGGCCGGGAGCGCGCTCTATATATCAGGAGCGAAAGCAGGACGCACACGTACATGAATCCACGCTGGTCTCGAGAGCACGCATGGCCCAGAAGTCGGGGGTGGACAGAACCCCCAACAGTGACACGTCGATTAGTGAATTGTCCGTTTTCGGTTCTTGAGAGGGCGCCGCGGCCGTTATTTTCCAGGCTTGCGCCCGCCAGGGTTGGGCCTGAGGTCGTTTTCACTAAACCACGTTTTACTAAAGGGAGGTCTGTCCATCCCCGAGAAAGTTCGTATCACGCGGCCGGCCTCGCAGGTCGAGGGGCCGTGTTCATGTGCATAGCTGGGCGCGTACGTCCTCTGTGGGCTCCCTACTACAGGGGGGAGGGCGCGGGGGAGGCGAGGCAGGGCGGCCCGGCGCCGGTCCCAGGGCCGTCCTCCGCGAGGGGCCTCCGAGAGTGCAGGCGTCGGGGGTGGACAGGACCCCTGACTTGGCGGCGCGCAGAGGGGGGTAGGGGGAGGGGGGAAGGCTTCCTAGAAGCACCCCCGCTTCTTAGAAGGCGCGGGCCTTCTCTTTAGATGTGAGGCCAGCGCCTTCTAAGAAGCAGCCTCCTTCTAAGAAGCCGTCCCCCTTCCCCCTACCCCCTTCTGCTCGCCGCCAACTGACAGTGACACGTCGATTCGTGAGTTGTCCGTTTTCGGTTCTCGAGATGGCGCCGTGGCCGTTCTTTTCCAGGCCTGCGCCCGCCAGGTTTGGGCCTCAGGTCGTTTTCACTAAATCACGTTGTACGAAAGGGGGGTCTGTCCATCCCCAAATGCGTGTGGTCGTTTTCTTTGCCATTGCTCTGCCGATATCGGCACGGGCCCTCGCACCCTCCCTCCCCCCCCAAGCAAAAGCAGGGCTCGGCTCGATTCCTCCCATTCGATTCGGCTCGAGTTCGATTGCTTCCGAGTCCGATTCGATCCGACTTGGGCTTCCAATCTGGGTTCCGGTTCCTTATTGGAGACATTGTAGCCTGCCGATCTCCGCCGATTCGACTTTTCCCGACTCGGCTGCCGATTTTCGCCGATCCGATTCATTTCGATCGCCGATCCGACTTGTCGATTCGACTCTGGGGGCGCCTGTGAAGTAGGTCTTGGTTGTTTTTGGCGCCTGCCTCATGCATGTGGGGTCTCCCCCACAGGACGCACTGCTGCAAGCAGTCGCATTCAGCAATAGGCCGGAGCCAGACCCCCCCTCCTTTCTCCCCCCGCTTCCGCCCGATGTCGAGACGCCGAACACGAACACACGCACCGTGTCTGTGCTCACCAGCCTGGAACATATCCCTATCCCTATGATGGGCATCGCCTCCTCTCGATGCCGATCTTGGGGATTCCCTCCGTTTCTGAGGGCGCGTCCCTAAGACTGTCGTCGACTTTGGGCTTGTGAATCTGAGGGATGGGAATACGTTCGAGGCTGATTGACCGTGTCTGTGCTCTCGTGTCTTCTTCGATGAGCAGCTGCTGGCGCTCGCAGTGCCGCCGGTCGGCGTACTGGCCGTCGCGGGTGCTCTGCCGGGACGCCGTGCGCATCTCGGCCGTCGGGGCGTCGCAGACGGGGGGGGGGCAATGACCGGGACGCGGCAGGCTGCGTGGCCTCTCCCCTGGTTTCGCGGCCCCCCCGTCCACGGACCCCCTCGAGTCGTGAAAAAAGCACGACGGGAGGTTCTTCATGACTTTTGGCCTCCGGGGGCCCTTCCCGGCCCCCGGGGCCGTCAGAAAACGACTCGGGACGAAAAACCGGTCCCGGGGAATGGGTCCAGACCGCTGGGGGTCGACGTCGTGGAACATTCATGACGTCGGGGGTCGGGGTCGCCGCATGCCAGTGCGTCCCTCGGCCGCTCTCTCGCTGCCGCGCGCGCAGGAGGTTCGAGGCTCGAAGGGGTTGGCATCGCTTCTGCGGCGGAGGCCGGCGGAGGTGAGGCGGGGCCGCCTCCGGCCGGCCGGCGGAGGCCGGCGGAGGTAGCAGATGCGTCCCCAAGAGTGAAGTCGGGCCTGTCCCCCCTGCTGCAGGGAGATGTTCGACGAAAAATACAAATTATCCCAGTGCGACCCTACCTAGGAGTTGGAACCCCTAGGAAAGCAGCATTAGTAGTAACAGTAACGCTAAGCTAAAGCTAAGCTAAAGCTAAGCTAAAGCTAAGCTAAAGCTAAGCTAAAGCTAAGCCACAGCTAAGCTAAAGCTAAGCTAAAGCTACGCTAAAGCTAAGCTACAGCTAAGCTAAAGCTAAGCTAAAGCTGAGCAACAGCTAAGCTAAAGCTAAGCTACAGCTAAGCTAAAGCTAAGCTACAGCTAAGCTAAAGCTAAGCTAAAGCTAAGCTAAAGCTAAGCTACAGCTAAGCCACAGCTAAGCTAAAGCTAACCTAAAGCTGAGCAACAGCTAAGCTAAAGCTAAGCTACAGCTAAGCTAAACGCTAAGCGAAAAGCTAAGCGAAACGCTAAGTGAAACGCTAAGCGAAACGCTAAGCTAAAGCTAAGCTACAGCTAAGCTAAAGCTAAGCCACAGCTAAAGCTAAAGCTAAACAGGGGACTGGGGGGAACCGCTCCCAGGGGACTGGGGGAACCGCCCGGGGCGCTTTGCACTGCCCGGCCCCTTTAAGCTAAGAGAGTAAGAACCCTTCTAGGCAGAACCTAGGTAGGGAAATAACTCCTCAAGTAGTAAAAAAATGACAAGAAACTAGTCTGGGACTAGTTTGGGAATATCTTTCTACCATTTGGGGGTATGTTTTGGGTATTTTTAATTGTCTTCGTCGAAAATCCCCCTGTAGGGGGACACGCCCGACTTAACCCAAGAGGTGGCAACAATATGTGTGTGCAGGGTTTCCGGAATCTCAAGCAGTGGCGAAGCGTCTTGGCGTGCCTGCAGCCCTACCAGAGAATGTTCCAAGAGCCCCTTGTGGTCTGCACGGAGTGTTCTTAGTGCCGGGACGGTCAGTCCCTGCTCAAGTAACAGATGCGTCCCCAAGATTTGGCAACAATGTGTGTGCAGGGTTTCCGGAATCGGCCACATGCCTCAGGCCATGATTTGCCAGCCCCCCGTGTTGGACGTTCCCCTCTGGGACACTCCCCGAGGCCGTGGCGGCCTGCTTCGCGCTGGACGTCGCGCTCACGCAGGCCGCTCTGGTGCTGGCGCCCGTGGCGCTGGTGGAGGTGGCCCTGTCAGGGGCAGCGACAGTCAAGCAGTGGCGAAGCGTCCTGGCTCGCCTATAGCCCTACCGAACAATGTTCTTAGAACATTTGGTGGTTCCCACGGAATGATATCAGAACATTCCTGGCGGGGACTGTCCTGTTTTATTATCAGACCGGGTCTATGTTCTAAGAACTTTGTTTTTGTTCTTGGAACATTTGGCTTCTAAGAACATCTCGTGGCAGGACCATAGGAGTGCCGGGACGGTCGGCGGTCGGTCCCTGCTCAAAGGCTCAGGGTGGGACACATCGACCCCCCATCGCCCGTTGATCGCCGACAGGGGTCTGGTAGCTCCGCCTCGCCCAGGAGCGTGCGGACTCGCTGTCGCAAGGCGATCGCCGATTCACAGGCGATGTATCGCCGATTCTCGGTCGACGTTGCCCCACCTGCGCCAGCCGCCCCCTATCGTTGCCCCTCACCCTGGCTCGCCACCAAGAGGGGCAGGTCAGGTCGGGCCGGGCGGTCCACGAAGGCTCCTCGATGAGAAGACAGTTGAGGCATTCCAGCAAGGGCCGCGCTTTCGAGGGTCGGGGGAGTTGCCACCTCTTCCTCGGCGGAAGGCGGCGGGAGCAAAACGAGGCCGCCTCCGCCGGCGGAAACCGGCGGCGATGGAAAAGACGCCCCCAGCCTGCTTCGCCGTTGTGGCCGGAGTCGGCCAGCCAGGGGTGGGGAGCACCTGACCACAGCCCGAGGCGGGTGTTTGTTGAACCGCAACCACCGCCTGGGGGACGGATCTTCGGGCAACTTCGGCAGGCGGTGGTCATATGGATAGAGTGGGGCCCCACGGTGCCCAAGTGTCTCCACACATCCACCGCCCCCGAGGGTTCCAGGACACATCGGTGCCCGGTGGGCGGACGGGGGCAAATCCCCGCCTCCCACGGCAGACTGCGAAGGGTCCCCGGTGAGAAGACACGGTTGTGTGGGTGGGGGTGGGGGGGGGCACGCACATCTCCAGCCCACCGCCACGAAGAGAGTCAGAGGAGAGAACCATGGGCAGTTCCGGGAAGGGCCACGCTTTCGGGAGTCGAAGAAGTTGACATCTTTTGCTCGCCGAAAGTAATGAGTCAGCAATTTTGGATCCAGGGCTTCCAGAACCAGTCATATGCCGATGCTGGCGTTTTTCCTTCGGTTCCGCCTTTGGGGGGCCCATGGGGGGATCT